GGTGCTCCAAGGATATTTAACTATAGGATTCAAGATGGGGTTCCAAGATAATTTATGCTATACAGTGACAACAATATACGTCCCTACAGCCCTGTCATCTGCCAGGAACGTCTCACGCCCCCGATATTGTCCGCTCCAGAGATGGTCAATTTGCGGGATTAAGAAGGAAGGGGGCGCAGATGGAATAATGATGGTGGATGATGGTGGCGGCGACTCCTACTCGAAAGCCTGGCAGAAGAGCTCCGTTTTACAGGCCCTGCAGAACTGAACCAGGTCCCGCAGGGCCCGGATCTCTTCTGGGAGCTCATTCCACCAGGTAGGAGCCGCCACCGAAAACGCCCTGGCCCTGGTAACCGCAAACTTGATGTTCCTGGGGCCTGGAATATCCAGGAGATTTTGATTCCCCGACCGTAGTGCCCTTGGGGGAACATGTGGGTAGAGGCGGTCCCTTAGGTAAGCTGGACCCTGACCATATAGGGCTTTAAAGGTTAAAACCAGCACTTTGAAGCGAATCTGGTACGCCATTGGCAGCCAGTGCAGTGCTTTCAGCACAGGCCGGATGTGATCCCGTCTAGTGAGACCCATCAACAGCCTGGCTGCAGCATTCTGCACTAGCTTTAGCTTCCGAATTTGCGACAAAGGCAGCCCTATGTAGAGAGCATTACAGTAGTTGACACACAGACAGAAAATATCATGTGTTCTAAGTTTCCTTCTCTGATCCTTTTCAGTGGTGAAGGAGGCACCACTTTGGAAAATTATTTGGGAAAGGAGAGGAGAATTGATGCTCAAGGAATGCATGCCCTGTGTAGTGCACTCCCTCAAAAACCAATTACCTCCCCTTCACTAATGAAAGAATCTTTGAAGGGGAAGGGAATAGAATTCACCCTGAGGAAGTGCACCAGGGAATGAGTGTCTTGAATGACCTTCTGATGTACCCCAGTTTCACTCTCCCCCTTTCATGGATCCTTTCAGCAACATAGGTGTGGAATTTTTTAAATGACAAATGGACCTTTAAGGCTCTGGGGATGTTATGTCAGAGTGCAAGTGCTTACTGTCTGATCAGCTGGCTCCCTTCTCCTCGTCCTTTGCTGCTGGGGCATTTCCCAGTTGCACAAATAGGCAATATATATGCAGCTAGCAGCCAGGACTGGTAATTGAAATGGTTTGGGCTCTTGCTCCAGATTGCTATTTATCTGGAAGGTACAGGGCAAACTAGCATAAGCAGAGACTGCTTTGCTGTTCTTCCACATCTGTGACATTTTTCACATCTTTAAGGGGCTCAGGAGGCATATGTGAATCTCTCAGCTTGTTCACATGACAATCCTGTGAGGTAGCTAAGACTTAAGGGATGGTGACTGGCTCACAGTCAGCCAGTGAGCTGATGGGGGATTTGAACTCAGGTTTCCCCAGTCCTAAGGCAGTACTCTGACCCACAAGCCATACTGGCTTTAGAATCAAAGCGACTTTGTACGAAGATATTCATATTGCAACACTGACCTGGGCAACCCAGGCTACCCTGATCTCATCAGATCCAAGGTGTGCCAGCCCTGGTTAGTACTTGGATAGGAGAGCACCAAGAAAGTCCAGGGTTGCTACATGGAGGCAGGCAAGGGCAAACCACGACCTCCCTCACCCTGAAAACCCCACGGAGTGGTCGTAACCACTGTGTGCATACAGATGTGTAAATTGAAGCCATATGTAAATTGATAAGGAGGCATTCTTATGAGTGCTGACACCCAATTAGCATGTTTATACCTAAGCATGCATATACAGAGAACAAATATGGCAGGGATAGGCAAGTATGGCAGCAGAAGGTACAACCGTGCCCCCTTGTAGAATCTGAAGGCAAATATGAGTACAAAAATGCTTGCCTCCTTGTGAAATCCTAATGTGATTGTAGTATGTATTAATAGTGTACCAAGAGTGGGGGTACTGCAGTGTATTCTCACCTTTGGTCCTAAGGAAAGATGTTTTCCCATACTGAACAACCTGAGAGCAAAAGTTAATAACCTATTTGTTGAGCACCGAAGAAATTTATGTAAAACTTCATGCTTCCCTGAAAGAGAAAGTGGTTTTCCTGTGATTCATGACATAGTATTGGGATAAAAATATCAACTACTCAGACTTCTCATTGTCTTTCAGATTAGGTGTACAGGATGGGTTTTATGAATGCATGGTTGCATTCCAAGCCAGTAGGGCTGTGTTTGGAATGGTTTGTTTCACTGTGGAATGCCAGCAGTTGCAACATCAGCATTTGTATTTTTTTTAAAAAAGGCCTTGCTTGCAAAATTATAGACCTGGCAGCAGTTAATGTCTTTGTGTCTAGCTGCATGGATTTTGTAACATTAGGTGGATCAATTAGAATGGTGGTAGGAGACATACTTCTAAAGTATTGCATATTAAACCTAACCATGGATGTACTAACAACCATGTAGAATAAAATGCCTTGTGGCTAAGTAAGATGAGCTTAAGGGGCTCAGTAGGTTAAGACAGCTATTTGTTCACCTTGGTAGACCTGGATTCCAAATCCTTCTTAGGTCACGTGAAAATGAAGCCAGTAACCTTATTCTAGTCCCTGTTGGGCTGATACTGTACAGGCTGGTATTGAAACTGTTTCTAGTTTGTCAAAATGTACACAATTACTAGTTTTGTGTAACTGACTATGCCCAGGAAAAGCTCTATAGAGGGAGTCCTTAATATTCTTCCTTCCATGTTTCCCCTACATATTAAGAAAAGTTGAGCTAATGCCAGGCAGAAGAAATAGGGCAAAACTGTTTTCTAAAGATAGCAGGTGAAACAGATTTTGGAAGTGAGCGTTTCATTCATATCTTGCCATTGTGTTACATAAGACTATAATAAATAAGTGTGAGTGAGTGAATGAGAATATTCCCAGAAGCAAGTATGTGGCAGAAATAAGGGAAATGTGAAGAATTTCTTTTAGGAGATGATACTGTGTATTCAGTTTTGAGTGGTATACGAGCTCAAATTAATGAAAGCTTGTGGCTGCAATCCAGCAAGACCAAACATGTATGGGGTTCTACTTGTCAGCCTTAGAATGGCAAGCTGTGTGAATGCATTGGGAACTTTTTCAGCTTTCTAATCCTGGCAGTGGAAAGCCATAATTCCAGCTCTCTTTCCACAGAGGATGGCTTGGCTGGCAGCCTCTTAACTGGGGTCCCCCTTTGAAGTAAAGATATTTTTATTCAGCCCTTGGTTCTGCTGCTTTGAATCACTGCTTTTAATTCTTGTAAGGAGGTGATTTAAGTTTCTCTTTTTAATTCTGTCAGCCTATTCCAATACAGATTTAAACTTGCCTAACACCGCTGAAATCAGTGGGTTTCAGTGCTCCTCACTCTCCACACTTTTACACAATGAGCAAACAAGTATTTTAAAGCTCACCGCTGTGAATCCAAAATAAATAAACTTGTATGTGATTTGTCTCTGTTGGATTGCAAACAAAATGAAGAGACATTTAGCTGGGGCCTAAGTAAAATCATAAGTGTTCATCCACAGGTGAGAGTGCCTAACGCACTGATTAAAATGCAAAAAGGTCTGATCTTGATCAATAATTTATGCAGCGGGTTTGGAATTTGTTCACAAGTGGTGCACTTGCTGGCTTTGTTATACTACTGTATGCTACAGTATTGAAACTGATTATCAGCCTTGTTGCCAGTTAATTCAATGGCAGTGCATTTTCATATGATGTTCTTTGTAATCCGTGTCAAATTCTGTATTAATAACTGCTGCTTTTTTCTTACAGACATGGTTGGATGCTGCCAAAGAAATTAAAAAACAGGTCCATGGTAAGTGGCTTGAGTCCACCGACCTTTTTTTTTTAATGTAGGTATAGTCTTAACATGCAGTTGTGAGAAGATCTCACAATCAGTGGAATTTATGTAAATATGATGGAAGTGATCAGTACAGATTCAAACAGATATATCCTCTTACTTTACAGTGTATCGTGGGGTATTTTTTTCTGTAAAACCATTTATTCAGTATAGTTGGGACTTGTAGAAGACATGGTGGTTTATTTTTAGCACAAACTATTTTTATTGAGAATAGAGTAATATATAACAGGTATAAGACAAGCTATAGGGATTTTTTTCTTTTTTGATTAGGATGATAGACTTGAACACAGTTACAGTGCACAGAAAAAATCAACAAACACCTCTGGGTTGTCTGTCTCTTAATATAGATGGAGATGAACAAACTTTTTCTCAGACGTCATTGCATTCTGGCATCAGATAGGGATGTAGATGGTTGCTGCTATCTCTGGCTCAGTTCAGGGCCATGTTTAAGAAGAATTTTTTACTGGCTTTGTGTCATTTAGATCCAATTAAATTGCTGAGTGCCATGACCTGGAAGGAGGCTGAGCCAGTAGTGCTGCCAATCATTTTCAGTTTTTCTTTGCAAGAGTGCAGAGGGAGGGGGAAGAACCCGGACAGGGGGAGGCCGAACATGACTACTGCTAAGCAATGGGTGCCACTTGAAAGCTGGGATTAAATGTTGGTCCCAGGCCATGGACCTATATCAAAGCACACCTCTTGGTTCACCTAGCTAAATATTTATTCTGAGTGTGAGCAGCTCTCCAGGAAGGTCTTTTCCAACTTCTGCTATCTGGGAACCTTTAATTGTGGGTTCCTGAGAGCTTCTGCATTGAAAGCACATACTCTACTTCTGCACCACAAGGCTTGCAGTTAAGATCTTTAACTAAATAGCCCTTCAGGTTATTGTGTTGAAAATTAAGCTTGAATCTTGCATTGTATTTTGCGGTGTTTGATTTTTCACCATCATTGTTGAAGAACAAGCATACCTGGGTGCTCTGTCCCCAGGCCAGTCAATAGATAACCCAAATTTAGATGCTTGCAAAATTATGGGGGAGGGCGGGGTATAAATTTGATAAATAAATAAATAAATAAATCCAGGGGCTGAAAATAGTGGGGAAGATACATAATTGGGCAGCATACTGTTGGTTATGGAGTCCTAGACTAGAGAGAAAAAAACATGGCGGGTGGGGGGGCTGACTTATCTAAAACAAGATTTTAGCTTTATGGCAAATTCATTTGTTTTCATTTTTTTTTAAATTTTTCTTTATTGAAAGGGTGGGGGTGAAGATGCAATTATCTAGTAAGCCAATATATATTTCACCTAGTAATTGTTAATGTGTCATGTTGCTTGAAAGCAATATTGCTTGTGAGCTTTCACATTACGGTATTCTAATTTTCTGTTTCGAATTGCAGGAGGCCCATGGGATTTCACTTTCAATGTTAAGTTTTATCCTCCAGACCCAGCACAGCTGACAGAGGATATAACGAGGTTTGCAACATCATTAGGGGAACATTACTTAATCAATCAACAATCAAGTAGTAGTCATGTTCAGGAAAGGCAATGAGAGGCAAAGTATAAATGTGACTAATAAATAATATGAAAATGTAAGATGGGGTTGCAAAGAGTCGGACTCGACTGTGCGACTGAACAACAACAAGATGAAAATACCACTTAAGCATACAAGCCAGGATCCAAAGAACTGTTTGGCTAATTCTCTGGGCGGGTAACTTTTAAATTGTGTTTCTCCCAACACTAGGTCTTGGGCCTGTTGGCCCAGCTGGGCCCAGTTTCAGCCATATTAATCTTCAAAAGGAAGTCCATTTGAACTGATAGGGGAAACGAAGTCTGATTCCCCACTTGCCTTCTTCCCTCTGTCTTCCCTTCCCTGTTTACCACTACATTTCCTTGATTGCCTCCTCTCCTTCCCTCACTGTCATTGTGTCCCCCCTCTTCCTCCTTGTTCTAACTGCCTATGGCAACCCACAATGCTGGCTGAAGTTCAGCCAGATTTGGGTTTTTTATAAGCTCTTGACATTTATCTTTATAATTCAGATTTCTCTGCAAACCTGAAGTTCGCAGAACTTTAAGCAGTAGCTATGGTCAGGCCTGCTACATGTGTTTCACTTATGTGCACAGGAGTCATCCCTTGGCTGATAGATATATTGATGTTTGAATTGTTACACTGACTTCTTAGAATAATGAGATCATTTTGCAATTCCATCCAGTGCAGTAGAGAATATAGCCATAATTCAAACCTTACCGGTTTGTAATTTCCCTTTATGATTCTATCTTTCCCTCTTTTGCAGGTATTACTTGTGTCTCCAGCTGAGGAAGGACATAGTCACGAGCCGCCTTCCCTGCTCCTTTGCAACATTAGCTCTGCTGGGTTCTTACACTATCCAGTCTGAGCTGGGAGACTATGATCCAGATCTGCATAGTGCAGATTATGTCAGTGAATTCAAGCTGGCCCCAAACCAGACAAAGGAACTGGAAGACAAGGTCATGGAACTACACAAAACATATAGGTAAATGAGTCAGTGATAAACTACTGTCCATTTCTTATGATTTCAGCTGAAATGAAATCCATATTTGGTGTGGGGGGCATATATATCCATGTGCAGAGATACAAAAAATTCCAATCTCCCCCTTCCCCCATTTAAGTGGTACCTAAAAATATGAGTGCAATGATTGGCATCTGGGTTGCTGCAGAGATCAGGATGCATGTTTAAGGGGGGGGGATGCTTGCACCCCTGCTGATACACACCACTGTGTCCAAAGACAGTTGAGGTGTGGTAGTGCAATGTACAGAGCAGTTTCAGGCTGCATGCAAAATACACTCTGCCTTCAGATATGACAGTCGCACATTACTTGTTCCTTCTCAGAGATTGTTCTGTCTAGGAAACATTTCACATGTTAAACATCCTTTAATAATGCTTAGGAATTCTGCACGCTGAATTATCAAAGCTGTTGGTAATAGATTTTCAGCCAGGCTTGAGTTATCTAGGAACAAAAATGATGTGGGCTTCCCTCACTGAGTGTGATTCAAGCTAGCTTCAAAACATTTTTGATGCCTTACAATATTGAAAGATGAAAAAATATTTGGTAACAGTAGCTCTTACACTTGCCAAGAAAAGCAGCAAAACTTGGTATTTTGAAATGCTGGTCTCCGTGTTAAACTGTGACTCAGTTCTGAATAGACCATATGGCTGGAAGAGGAGTTTCATACAGTCGGGAGTGTTTGGAATAATTGGTATACGCATATTGGTCCTTCTGTTCTATTTTGGATACATGCCAGGATAGAAAAATGGGGAAATTTAAATATGGAAAGCAAAATATATAAAACACTTACCTTGGTATACTACTGATGGAGCTTGCTAGCACAGTTCACTAACACAGAAAGAATTCTCCTGGTAAGTAAGCTTGCATTGTTGACTGAGCTTGCACATATGTACCCTTATTCATTTTGATCACCTTATTTGTTTACCCTGCCCAGCAGGAGTGGCTTCTGTTGAGCAACTTCACGTGGCTTTGCCTTTTAATTTCCAGTTTTAGTTACTGCTCTGCTCACAGTTGTTTTAGGGAAGCAGTAAATACTAGGGGTGTGCAAAAAAAAAATTCGGAAAAATTCGGATTTGGGTTTACTGGACCCGAATTTTTTTGGGAAACCCGAAAAAACCCGAATATCTATATCGGTAAAGCATAGATATCCGAAATTTTTCGGGAAACCCGAAAAATTCGGGTCCATTATAACCAATGGGGCCATTGAAGTCAATGGCAAAAATCCTCTTGAAACTTTGTGGTGGGCTGGGGGGAGGGGGTTTGGGGTAGAGGCTCCAAACTTGGAGCGTGCTTACTGGAACCTCTCCCCAACATACCCACCAAGTTTCAAGACGATTGGACCAGGGGGTACAATTTTATGGGCCCCCAAACAGGTTGCCCCCAGATCAGCTTCCGCAGTTTATTCCCGGTTTGCCGCCGAAATTCGGCGGCAATTCGGCAACATTGTATCCTATGGACCTTGGAGTGGGTAAGCTCCAAACTTGGAGGGTGGTTACTAGAACCTCTCCCCTACATACCCACCAAGTTTCATGAAGATTGGACCAGGGGGTCCAATTCTATGGGCCCCCAAACAGGTTGCCCCCACCCCATTGTTCTCTATGGTGGGGAAAAAATTACTTTTTTCCCACCATAGAGAACAATGGAGGGATGGGGATGGGGGCAAACTGTTTGGGGGAGCATGTTTGCAAACTTTTGCCAGACCAGCCAGCCCCAGCCACACTGCAGCAGAGAAGAACCATACAAGTGCCCCCCCCACAACCTGTGCCGCCAAACTGGGTGCCCAAAACCCCAAAACCAACACAACTTGGCTTAAACCAAAGAATCTCTCTACAGCAGCAGCACTGAGGTAGCATGTCTGTGCATTGCCAATGCCAGCCAGACAGG